TCAATGCAGTTCTAGAGAACGCTTGTAGTGAGCAAGGAGCAAGAATGTCTGCCATGGATAGCTCCAGCAGAAATGCTGGTGACGTGCTTGATCGTCTCACTCTTACTTACAACAGGTCTTACTCTCCACCGTCTCTTTCACACATGCATTTGCACCGTCAAACTCTCAGACATGCTTACACTAGTCAAACAGAAAGACACAGTTTATCTCTCTCAAACTTGGCCTACACATTCCTTCAGACGCTCTATCCGGAAAAAAACAACAACAACAAAAAACCCAGTGTAATCCCACAAGTGGGGTCTGGAGGGTAGTGTGAGTGTACCCCTACCTTACAAAGATAGAGAAGCTGTTTCTGGTAGACCCTTCTATAGGGAAAAAAATTAAATAAATAAAGCCCCTCAAAAGTACCCTAAGCTCTCTACTTAGTGCACATGCTTATCTACATGTATGCAGTTATGAACCTACAAATAAATTGATATTTCCTTAATTGATGTCCAACATACTGCAGATTTGCTAACTAACTGGCTTTATATACACCACTAATAGTGACCAGTGGCTGCTGATACGTCATGATCTAAACAGATGACATTTGTATACTTTTGAGGATAACATATAATTTAGAAAGTTGATCGGTTCTTTTTTTGTCTGTCATTTTTACTGGTCTTTTTCTATTTTTATCTGTGAAACAGAACCCGTCAAGCATCTATCACCACAGAACTGATAGAGATCATATCAGGAGCATCAGCATTGGAGGGTTAGTTGGACAAGCTACTGCTTTTGTCTGATGGAGACAGAATAAAAAATCTGTAGGCTTTCTTAGCACCATGGTTGGCCAATTATCAGTTTTGATTTATGAATAATCTCCCGGTTAACTTTATCTCTGGGAAAAACCGGTTTCACTGTGGCAAAATAGTCACAAATGCCATTTGATCTGTTTCCTTTTATTCTTTGTATCCCGGCCAGAATTGCCATAACTTGGTCAAGAAAATTTTCTTGAAAGCTCTTTGTTATTATGCATGTTTCGTTTGTAAGTTGACACCTAGGCCCTTTCATCAAGTTTCTACTTTGTGAGCTATTCTGGTCTAATGCAAGGACTTTGTGACTGTTTCTAAATCTAATCTGGTTCTATCAGCCTCAAATTTTGCTATGGAACATTTACAGCCATACAGTTTGATTCTATAAAAATATTATGATGTGTAGTTTATGTTGTGCTCTTGCAAAGGTACCCAATTTCTTCAGAATGAAAGTGCATGGTTTAGATGATTGTAATTTTCTGAGAAGCTTAAGTTCATGTCAGTAATCCAATATGCCTATTTAGGAATGAGTGTTCTCTTGTCAAATGCTTCCCTTGGAACTTGCCCTGGGCAATATTTTGACTACTGCCATTGCTAAAAATTTTGTAAACATGACGAGTATAAATATTCAGTTACCGATTAAAAAAGTATTAATGCTAAATTGAGTTTAGGTTTTCGTTTCAGCTTAACAGCAGTGAAAGATGAGCTCATGCAATATAACTGCACTTATTTTCATTAAAATAGACCATACAAATCCTGCACTTATTGTTTGCTTTATCTTTGATGAAGAAACAGAAGATCACTTGCCACCTGCAGCAGATAACTACTATGTTATATTATCTTTCTGATACACTATTGTTGCAGTAGTGTTTCATTGTCAACTTTGCCCCCATTGACAATTTGAGTGTACTAAATGTGTTTTTTCGGCTTTCATATCCGAAATCATGAATAAGCACATCGATGCTTTAGGGGTTGAGGATGGATTTGTTCCCTCAGATGAGACTGTACAACTGCCAATCAGTTTTGGATATCTCCCACCAGTCATTCCCGTATTGAAGTGGAGGAAGTTGCCGTTGCAGCTGTTCATAATCAAGTAGAAGGGGTTTGGGACTAGAGCAAAGGAGGCTACCAGTCTACCCTCCCAAAATAAAGCGTAATAAATTGCTATGCATTTAAAAAGGTTGAAAATTTACTTTCCCTTGGTGTAAATCTTGAATTTAAATATTAAACTCTTTCCTACTTAGGAAAATAGACATTCTCCATTTGTAACCTTGTAAATTAATGCAACGTCGTCCTTGATTAAAAAAAAAAAAGGAGGGGTGCTTTACCCATTCATATTTTGAGAATTTAGAGATTCGCTTGTAAACATTAGCTCGCTCCCATAAAAAAAATTGTTTTATCTATTGAAGACTAATGGTTCTATTTTAATTTATAATTTGTGAGTTACTATGTTTTAGCTTTGGTAATGGTAATAGGAAATAGTATCGCTGTTGAAAGTGTACCAATTCTATATTCCTTTAATCTCTAGGCATAGAAAAAGTATAATCCACATATTTCTGGACAGCAAATGTCAAACTCAATCAATAGGTTGGAGCTTAACCATTGATATTTTATCTCTCAAGGAAATCAATTGGTCAATTCTTTCAATAACTCTTGGTATTGTTTTGATGCAAGATGGAATCATCTTCAGTGACTATTGTCGTTAGCAAATAGAAGTGAATGGTAATGGTCCTTTCTTGTCCTGATATGTTCGTTACAACTTACAACCCACGAGAGGAATGCCTAAATCCCCACAACGTGACAACATGTTCGGAACTCCACCTTTACAGGGGCTTTCTTCTTCGTCAATACTATATTCCTTCACAAATCTCATCTTTCCTTTTTACATTCACAAAAAAGCTATTCCAAGTTATTATAAATAAATGATTTCTCTTTTATTCCTACGCAAAGCTAGTTTTTTCTTTTGCTAAAACGTTGAATGATACTCTGTATGAATGTTTTAATATTTAAAACGTTATTATAGTGTTGCAATTAATTATATGTCACTAATTCATTGGTGTTTTGCCGTTCTGAAGTGAATAATAGATATATAAATTTCAATATTTCATACCAAAACATGGATGACAATTAAATCTTCAAATTGATGTAGTTTAGTAGTGAAGTAATAGAATTGTTATATTTACTTCTTCTTCTTTTTTATTAAAGGAAATATATTCCACACTCTTCATTTACATGAAAGCAGTACTAGATCCTAATATTATTTATAGGAACTAGGAAGTAAGTGCCTCAGCCTTAATTAATTTGGGTTTATTATAAATGAGAAGTTTAAATGTGAGGTAGGAAGAAAATTAAGGGCCACGCATATTACTGTCTGGTTTTGGAATTATATCTGTACTGCTAATGAAGTTCCAATCCTTTTTAAGTAACAATGTTAGTCCGTCTTTAAATGTCAATATCCCAAATTATCTCACGATTCAACTACAAAATTTTAAATCATTTGAGAGATCTTCTAATACTTCATGAGGCAGATTTATGAATTTAAGTTTTGATTGTCAATGGTAGATTCGGATTTTTGACATATAGCAGATACTCATTTGAAAAAGTGAGTTCTGAAAAATATATCTAAGTTTTCTTATACTTATTTTTCACATGCATATAGAATTGGATTTTCAAAGAATTAATTATGCTGAACACGTAAGTTCATGATTAGATCAGCCAGTATCGGTTGTAATGTGATAGTATTGCGAAATATGATTATGAATTTATGATCATTTGCAATAGTGGCTATGGCCTTTGGGTTCACTTTATTTGATGTGGTTTCTCTCATTAGTGCCCTTTAAGAGAAATGTAGTTCTAATGATAACTATTTGTGGATGCACCTTTATATCAAGGTGGTGGATCGTATATTTTAAAATGGTTCAAGGACCTTATTTACGGAAAGAATTAACTTAAATAGCCGTCTACTCAAACGCTTGTATAATCTTTATAAATTGCCTAGAAAGAGTAAACAGTAAATTCCAGTGGTAGATTTACGTTTTGAGGTATGGGCGATAAAGCACCCATTGACTTTGCCAAATCGTGTTATGTATTCTTATAGAATACTTAACAATTTAAATAATTGACCATGGGTACCTATTATGATCGTGTTTGACCACCATAAATTTACACTAAAATAAGTGAAACACCTACTATCTGTAAATCCTGAATCAACCACAGCTAAATTTGCCCGGTTATTTGTATAAAAATCCCTTATTTATTTTCTGCACGGTCCAATGCAAACCATGGCTACAATTAAGTTGAGATCTCAATTCCACCACCTTATCCCCTCTCCCTTTCATAAAACAAATAAATAAGCAGAAGTTAGCCGTTGGCTACTTTGAAAACCTGATATAAATATATTCCTATCACACGTTCCTCATGTCCATTCTTCAGATTTTTATTCATTTTATTAAGATTTACGTTTATTATATATACACTCATCTTGTAGTTGAAGTGTTGAACTTAGAATTGAAAGTTAAATATTAAATGAAACACATACCTGGTCTTTCCGATTGACAATTACAAGAATCTGACATTACATCTAATAATCCCATCTTTAAAGAGTTGAACAAGTTTTGTTTTCAAAAAATGGACATTACTTGAGATTCTAATTTTTTTTTTGGCTCCTTATAATTCAATTATGGGGAAAATATGAAAAGTTGAATTTGAATCATGGGATAACTCAATGACAAAGCAAACTATCAGATTATGTCTATAAGGACATTGTTATTAGTATTAAACATAATACGTCAGCTCTTTGATAATGTAATTATCTTTCAAACGATAAAAATATGAACGATAATACTATCAAAAGTCTAGATAAGCTCGTAATAAATTCATACATTTTGCACGATAATAGCGTGAAAGTACATATGAATTATGAGCAAATACAATAAATTTCAAACTAAAGAATAATCACTTTCAATAATTTATTACCCATTTGTCCTATATTATACTACAAACTTGGATCTTATATATCTTTTATTTTTCAAAAAGAATAGGCCAACAAGGATGAAAGTAGAAAATTAATTATCATCATCTCCATTTGGCTATAAAATTAACATATTTTAGTACAGGCTGGTTTTAAGGAAAAAATAAAGACTTGGAAAAGTGTAAAACCATATAAAATTTCTCCAAATATTTCTTTACTGTAAAAAATATCGCCTTTCTGTGTAGATAATGGGGCAAAATGAGGACCCAAATCTACAACTAAATGACCCTTCTCACACCAACCTGTGAAAAAAGCTGAGTCTTTTCTTTTTCTCTATCTTAAACAGACTCAGAATCCTTTTCAAGATTAATTTTTTCTTATTTATTTTCATCACTCCTTTTTAGTGTACTTTATATACCGGTGGCTGAGTTGGGTGAAGTTGTTTGGTGAAAATTGGTTGATTTTTATTGGTGGGATTTTGCACTTTACCTGCGCCTTTCAAACGAGTAGCCTTTAGATTCTTGCTATTTTTTTTATTGGATTTTTCCGGGGAAAATTGATTATTTCTTTTTATTGATGCGTCGTGCGGTGCAGAAAGAATGTTTTTTCCTATGTTTTAAAGGGATTGAGGTTCCTGCTCTTGGTTATTGAACATGGCTTCTGATTGTTCTTAAGGTTTTACAGGTTTGACAAGTCGTGTTTGGTTCGGAAAATTGAGAAAAATAGAATTATATCCGGGCATTGATTGTTCAATTGAAGAGTAATTTTTCCTTATTTGTAAAAATTTTTAGCTCTTTCTTTCCGGTTCCTATTAGGGTTCTTGACTATAGCTTCTCAAGAACAGAACTTTATTTTTTCCTTTTTACAGAACCTAGATAAGTTTTTCTTTGTTCTGGAGAATTAGGAGTAATCCTTACCTTTTTGTATACCCTTTTGAATCAAAGCAAAGAGATACTTCTGTTAATTGTGATTAGTGACCTCCAATTTGACTTGTCATTGGTACATTTTTTGTTCTTGATTCTGCTACTTAGATGATTGTAACAGGGAGATTCTGGTTGTAGAACTAGGTTAGTATTATCTGCTGTGAGGAATTGCAGTGAACATGGATATTTGGGTTGTGGCTGCAGCTGCCGGTGCTGGTTATATTGCCCAGCATTGGAAGGATCTCTTAAAAAGCAGACATGATTTTTCAGAATCGTCTCTTAAGTCTCCTAGTTTTCTAAGAACTGACTCATTACCGCATATGCAGCAAGTTCTGGATAATAATTGTTCCTCCCCTGTAGAGACACCGAGAAAGAAACTAGGTGAATGTCATGATCTAGAAGTGGCTTCCACTAGCACTTTGGCTGGTGAAAACCTAGGGATGTCGTGTGGAAGCATATGTGATGACATTAATGAACCTGGATATGAGTCATTACTTCCCCCTTCTACGACTGAATTGGCCTTTTCTTATGGTGGTAATGCAAGGAAAAAGAGCAGCCTCAGGAGTAGAAGAAAAATTGGGCATCTTATAAAGCCTCTAAATTCTCTAGAAAGTTGTCTCATGGCTCAATTATACAAGGAACATGGTGAAGTTGAGGACTTTATTTTTACTTCAAACTCTTCCCCATGGACACCAACAGCGAGGCCATTTATAGTTACCGATGGAAGCAGAATTATAAGCAGAGGTACTTCTAATTCCTTAAGTACCTCAAGAGGCGCTGGACATCATAAGCTGCAGGATAGCTTTTCACAATTGAATACTGTATTTGGAGTCCCTCAACTACCTAGCGTTGGATCTATGGAGCTCCAGGGAAAAGCCAAGGTGAAGGATCATTCCAGAAGATTTAGTGATTTCACTAAAATGAACAATGAGAGACACGGCAGTTTACAAGGTAATTTTTTCTGTTGGACACTGATTTTANCCGTTGGACACTGTTTTTGTAACTGTTTTCGTGGTAAAATTTAATGAAATAGATAGATTAGATTTTAGACTTTGGAATAGCAACATTCTTTGAAAGAATTTAAAACCAGTAGAGCCAAGGGGATGTAGCTCCCAGGTATTTTCCATCAAGATAATATGCTAATGCGCAGCTTTTTAAAATGATAGTTAACTTTCACACGATGAAACTCATGAATGATTTAGCCGTTTACCTGCAACAGTCGATGGAACACAAAATAATTTGTAAGCGAGATGGTCGTTTTGTACCTTAATCAGTGTCATGTCTGTTTCTTTCTTTAGACTTCTACTTCAGATACTAAGACTTTCGAAGCTCATAACTGCTCATGACTTTCCTACTAATGGCACAATAAGTAAATACTAACTTCTTCTTTTTTAGTAATACTAACAGCTCCTATTATCCCCCATTTTATGGTTGTCTTGAAATCAGGATCATCTCGTGGTGTGCTGCTTTTCTGTCTTGGAATATCTGTGGGCATAATATCTTCTTTCTGGAAAAATAGAAATGAAATGGATAAATTAAATGAGTTGCTGAGACAGTCAGAGAATTTGGTTCAAGATCTACATGAGGAACTTGAGATGAAAGATTCATTAACTGTGAAAGAGCTTGCCGCTGAAGATTGTGAGTCACAAGATACACATAATGATTCTTCAAACAATGGAGCTTTACATGAACCTTCCCCTAAAGGGAAGTTGAATAAGTCGTCAACAAATTACGATGAGGACTGTCAAAGCCAGAAGACAGAGGAAGAATCTATGAGTAAAATTGAAGCAGAGCTTGAAGCTGAACTGGAGAGGTTAGAATTAAGTATGAACTCGTCTAAGTTGGAGGGGAAACTCGCAGAACTAGATGAGGTAGGAATACTTTCTGATTCATTCATCTCTATGTCCCTTTTTTTCCTTTTCCCGTAGCAAAAATACAACTTGCTTACTTTGATACTCCATTCTTGCAAATGCAATTATCTTATTAGAGAAGTTAATTTAGGCATTATATGCACATAAGCATTTTGGTCCATGATCTACAACTGGTTAACTTTGACAGCTTATGAATTTATATTTTTTCAAGGAAGCCGTAGCGCTTATGGTTTGTAACGGATAAGCTTGATTTTCTTATATGCTATGCAAGATAGATACTTCCATCAGTTCTTGCTATTAGAAATAATTATTCAGGATGATCCCTCTGTTGCTTATTGATTTCTGGTGTTGATGTTGCATATTGTTGCTGAGCTCTTTAGTCTCTAATACTTCTATTAGTAGGATGTGTACCTTACATTTATTAGTCATATGATCAGGATCTAATATCTTTATTGAACTTTATGAAAATATATTTGTTGTTCTCTTAGACATTATATCCTTATGCTTTCTTCAGGTTTGCCCCTTTTTTCCCTCTCTTGCTATCTTCTTGATCTGGATAGTATAGATCAGCAACTTTTTCAGCTTATACTATGTTAGGAGGGCTCTTCTTTAGAAGATTGAGAAAATTTTACTTGCGAATTTGTTTTTGTGCTTCACTTTACTTGATCTACTGTGCAATTTAGGCATATCTTGTGTTTGCATTCTCTTTGTGTTGGAGATCTTCTTAATGTTTTCTTTTCCAGATTTTTGTTGAACTTTGTGGTCCGGCCCTTCCCCGCACCCTGCACATAGAGGGAGCTTAGTGCACCGGGCTGTCTTTTTTTTCTTGTCAGTCTTTAATCATCACTATGATCTCTAGCTTTTGCAAGTATCATCAATCTCAATCTTCATATCATCAATCTCAATCTTCATCAAGTTGCTCTTTTCCTTGATCCACTAATGAAGAAGTTCAATATTCATATTTTTACTAGGAGAACCATTAGGTTTATGATTGGTAGGATGAGTATCATCCATATTTGGTTTCTAGAAGGAATCTATGTTATAGTTTGAAGACTTCATAGCATAGTTCTCAGGAGAGACTTAGAAGTTATGACTGGTGCAACTCTTTTACATCCACTAGTAAATGAAAATGAATCTCATTGCTATACGACTTAACAACTAGAACCCGGTGCCAATAGGTTGCTTCGGTGAAAAGAAAACGGAAGACAACCTATACGTGCCATGTTAAGCTATACATGTATAGAGTCAGTTGTCTGCTATTTTAAAGAAGCTTTAATAAGTGTTCAATCTTTTGCAGCTTGATCCAGGCTTTGTGCCAGATCTAGCCGAGGGGGAGTTAAGAGCTGAACTCTTTAGTAGACAGGCCAAAGGTCAACCTTATGCAGATCAGGATGGTAGTGCAACCTCGACCCCTCGTCCTGTTGACTATGCTGTCTCGCCAAGAGAGCTGAGCTTACGGCTGCATGAAGTCCTTCAATCACAATTAGAAGAACGCCTCAAGGAACTTGAGATGGCACTTCAGAACAGTGAAAGGAAAGTTCGGTATATGGAAGCAGAACTTGTAAGTTCTTGGAGGGATTCCTCAAACAGTGAAGGGGGTTCTTCTTCCACCCATGGTAGTCCTGTAACTAAAGTTGAACAACGTCCAGCAGATCAGCCCGTGGTAATCAATTTATCCGGGGAAGCTTTAGATGCATATAACGAGGCTTTTGATGAGTTCACAAGGTTAAATGAGTCAGAGGAAGAGGATATTGCTGTTGTATCAGAGGTTAAGGACAGCAACCACCAAGAAAACTCGCGGTCACATGAACGAGACTTTGACTGGATTGAGAATGGTAGGACGAATGATGAAAGTGAAGATGGTGATGATGAGATGGAAAAGTTGTTAATTAGGCATATTGTTGAGAAAGCCAGGAAAGGCTCTCCAGCAGTTTTAAATGTGCAGAGAGCTTTGTTCTCACTTGATGATAATGAACATTGATATATTCCCAATACAAAGTAAAGAGGAAAAAAAGATTTTTGCAGCTAATTGACTACTTTTCATGCACCCACAACTTATAAGTCAATTTGCCTGTATTCTCAAATATGAACCTTTTTCAAACTCCCAAATCCTAGATAACTAGTTCTTTTTTAGCAGAATGTTTGAGCTTAATCAGCTTGAACTACCAAATGCCTCTGTCCCTAAAGGGTAGGGTTGG